CCGGCTGCTGCTCAAGCGGTAGGCCAAGCAGGTGAGTTTGTCTTGCAACCTCTGCCAGCATGGCCATGCTCCGCTCAGCAGCCCGCTTTAAGCATCTTTGGGCCGCCGGCGACAAGCAGTACGTGGGCTGCTGGGAGTCCGTTCCCCGTCGCTACGGCAATGCTCTGGGCCCCGTGTCCTACGCCAACCGCACTCCAGTGCCCAAGGACTGGGTCCTCAGGGGAAGTGGAATCCACGGACCGGAAAACGGTGAGGTCATGAAGTTGGTGCTGTGGAACCGGCTCAAGCAGAAGCGCCCTCAGCGACAGGGCGTCACCACGGCAGATCTGCAGGAGTTCTATCGAATGGAGGTCACAGTCGTGTGGTGGATGTTTGGCCTCGTGTTCTTCGTGGCACCCCTCAACTGGTGGGGAAAGAAGTACCGCATGGTCCACGACCACTACCCGTGGATGGCCGCGCGCATAGATGGCACCCGTGGAGTGGGCCCCTACGCCTGGTTCTTCGAGTGAGGCTGCAATGCCCAGAGCCATCGACTGTGCTGTGGCAACAAGTAGCCTTTTTGATGTATGCCGGAAGTTCTGTTTCGACGTCCCCCTTGATCGCGCTGACATGGAGTACAAAACAGTGCGCATTTGCTGATGATGCTATACTGCTTGGTTTCTGTGCACAGATCTGTTTGCCTGTTAAACAGTGTGGTACACACTTCGGGGTTCCAACGTTGGAAGTAGGAGTCAGCCGGAATGTTTGGTTCCGCTTCCCGCTGTGGCGGTGCATATTTTGCGTTCTCGTCCTATTCTTTACACCGGATCGTGATGGACACGAGCCTCCGGGACTCCGGGAGGCCAGGCTTAGAGAAATTAGAAGACCCAGGACAAAATTTTGCGTCGAGAACCTTGAGTTGCGCCATTGCCTTGAGGAAAGCATGTTGCCCGTTGTCCTGAATCGCTCCAGCAATTAGTTGAGGGAAAGCATTTTGGCCTTGCTCCGGCATCCCGGAATCCCAACAGTACTTGGACGAGTGGAGACAGAACTATGCGGAGCTTTGCCGGCCTTGTTCGAGTGTGAGAGTCGAAACAGTACTTGGAAGGAATCTTGGCCCTGGTCCCCAATCCTGGTCCTGAATCCCGCCAGTATTTGGGGAAATCTTCTGGCCGTGCGCGTGAATTCCAACAGTGTTTGCTAGAAAGCATGTTGCATGGTCTGCTTGAGGCCGCATGGTGTTTCTTGCTGGTTTTCTGCTTGCCGTGGTGGTCCTGGCAACCAGTGCTCGTGGTCGTCATTGTGTTGTCGTTGCATTGTTTGTTGATCTACGCTGGCATTATTGTTGCAGGGCTCGGGGAAATCAGTCCCAAGAACCGGCCAAGATTGTTAAGTTACATCGTTAAGCGCAGGTGCCCTCGACGGCAGCATCAGATTTTCAGCCTCCGCTGCGCTCTTAGAGTCATAGACTGCCTCCAGCTTGTCGTTTGGCTGAATGATGAATTGTGCATTCTTGTCGTGAAGCAATGTGACGCATGTGGATGAAGGGGGTGATTGCATTTATGTGGGACTTTGGTAGACAGCCTCAATGCTCAAGCGCAGGCGCCATCAGGGCCCCCAGAGGCCCTAGCACGAAAGTTCCTGGTGTAGGAGGCTGAGTCGTGCTTTGCTGGATGGAGTTGGCGGAGGTGGAGGCGGATTCAGCAGATATTGACGAGCTTCTTCGTGCAGACCTGCAAGCTCTGGTGGAGGCTCCGTTGGAAGGCTCGTGCTCCGGTGGCTCCTTCAGTGACACCTTGCTACGTGGCTACGATGGTCAGGTGGATGCTCACATAGCCTTGCTTGCAGTCCGCTGTCCGGAGCTAGCGGAGAAAGCCATCTCTCAGCCGAGCGAGCCGACCTGCAGATTCCTTATCCAAATGCCTGAGACCCCGTTGGAAACTCTCCAGAATGCAATCTTCTTTCTGTACACCGATCGCATCGCGCCACAAGCCTGCGACAATGTTGCCGAAATGTTTGCATTGCTCAGGATGGCCCGTGACCTGTACCTGCCGGAAAAGAGTGACTCCTCAGCTTCGTCAGGGTGCAAGAGGAGACGCATAGACACCAGAACGTGTGCTATGAGGCGCTTGTCTAGCCTGTGCGAGCACCGTATACGTGAGTTGCTGACTGCATCGACTGTGATAGAGGTTCTCTCGTGCTCAGTGAAGCTGGGTGCTGCGTTGCTGGAGAGCTGCGTGTACGACTTCTTGGCAAAGACCCCAGCTCAAACGAAGGATGTAGATTTCAGCAGGAGCCTCATAAACACTCTGGGCAAAGATCACCCGGAAGTGCTTGCGAAGGCAATCTCAGCGACTGCGGGCAACAAGCCGGCTTTTAGTCTCTCTTGGGCCGAAGTTCCGGCTCCGTGCCTTCTCCTTCATCTGCAGTCGCTCTGGCGACAAACTTTGGGACAGGACCACGCGGGAGAAGACGTGCGCGAGCCTGTAGCAAGGCCTGACTGCAAGCTGAATTTGGGACGAGGGGAGGATTCGCTACCCTGCCATGTGCTTGCGCACCGTTTCCTTTTGGCAGCGCGATCGAGGTTTTACGCTTGCGCACTGAGCTCACCTATGAGAGAAGCTCAAACTGGGGACATCTCGCTTGGAGTGATACCTTCGCCCAGTGTCAGCAGTGTGCGGACTTTGCTCAAATACCTTTACACAGGTAGATTGGAGATGATCGAAGGCACGGAAGGCCATGACCTGATGCAAACTGACCTGCTCGACATGCTTTCAATCGTCGACGGCCCTGGAGGGCAGAACTATTTGCAGCTTTCCCAGCAAGTGTGCGATCTACTCCGGGACCAGCTGACAGAGCAGATCAAGGCGAACCTTCGACAGGACAACATGTGGATGGTTCTTCGAAGGGCAACAGCTCAGCGCAATCGAACCATCCAGAAGGAGGCGTTCATGGCAGTGCTGAGCTGTTGTGAGGAGCTCTCACGAGACGAGGAGTTGTTCAGGTGCTGGGGCGATTGTCCTGTACAGACGGTGGACGCTTGGTGGACGCAGCGCATGGAGTCGGAGCTGCTTCGTGAGATGCTGAGGTTGAGCTGCGCACTCGGTTCTGGAAGACAAGTGCATCACGACAACTGGGAGCTGGAAGTCGTGCATCCAGCCCCTGAGGGTGTCGACAACGTATTCAATCTTCGAGGGAACGGGCACTTGTTGCAGGAATGGAGCGATCGTGGGTCTGCGTGCGCGTGTCTTGGCGACGTTTGACGTCCTTCCCTGCAGTGCGTGCAGCTTCGCAGTAGGTCGTCCTAGTTGATAGGCCAACCTGGGTTGCCTATCTCCTTGTGAGAGTCTAAGGCGCCGCGGTAGCATCGTCGCCAAGTTCAAGCATCCCGTCCATGTGGACTTCGTGACGGTTGCTCCCCTTGATGGTTGGGGTAGTGAATACTTAAAGAACGCCAGGCTTCATGTGAAGAATGCTGATGGTGTTTGGGAGCGACTTGCAACAGCCACAGGCCGGGTCGAGCAAATACCTGTATTCAGACGGGCTACGATGTGGCGTTTATACGGGGACGAAGTTGCTACTGCGGTCCTCAAATTCCGTAAAGAGCCAGCCCGACCTTGCAGTGAGTTTGAGCATACGGAGAAGGCGAGGTGCAAAGGATCCGATGGCACGTACAAGTTTGTGTACTTCAAGTTTCCTGTCGCGGTCCATGTAGATGATGTGACGGTGCCCGCAGATCCCATATTGACCAGAACGCAATTGCAAGTGAAGAATTCAGATGGTCAGTGGGTTGACGTCGGAGCGCAACTGACAGGGCGAAGCCAGCTTGTTTGGGTCAACAGGGACGGTCGCTTCTGGCGCTTGCGGAATCTTTCTGGCTTGACTGGGTGGGATGCGAATATCTTCACCTTCACTTCAAAATGATGGTGGGAGCTTTGGAAACAAGTGCTGCAACCGATGATCAAGGACGTTGTCACGTGTTGTGGGGTTTCTTCTGCAGCGTGCCCACCCACAAACAGCGTCTCAAAATCGATGGCCCTCTCGGTGATTCCTGTGGGCATGAACGTTCTGGCCTAGGTTTCATGTGCATATTATTTTTGCCAACGTTGGCCCTATCGATGTTTCCTCGTGCTGTGACGCTCTCGCCTAGGCACCGTGTTTAATCACAATAGTTAGTACGCTTCTGGCCTCGTGGCCAAAATCGCGCGCTTGCCTTGGTCCCGCAAATCGTCGTCCCGCTTAGGCCCCTTGCTTTCGGATGGATTATTTTGGTGCGTCCGTTTTCAGGGGATTTGCAGTTCAGCAGAAAAAGCGCGCGTTTTGAGTGTTTGCTAGGGTCATCTTGCGGCTTTAGAGTGGTTTTGGCATGTTCTTGAGTGCTCTCGGGGTGCTCTTGGAATGATGCACTTTCTCAGCACTCTGGATGCTTGCACCTTGGCCTGAGGCCCTTTCTGGGAGAAGATTCTGCCCGAGCCCCGTTTGCCATGTCAGACGTAATGAACTGTGACATAGTCAAAGGACGAGGATGCCCCATGTGTGTGCCAGCAAGTTCATGTGTTGCGTGGTAACCCAAGTTCATGAAGTTGCACCTAAGTCGCACCTCTGCAAAATCTCCTTGATATAGAGCCTTAGTGGTTGAGACACATTTATTGCCACTGCACAGATCCCTGCGCAGGCTGGTAGCAATTCCAGTGGCTCCGGTGTTGATCGCCCTGACGCTCGAGTCCTGGACAGCTGGACCAGCTTGTGATAGCTTGTGCAATTTGCCGGCAGTTCACGCTACTTGTAAGTGCTGACGGTCTAGGCCTCAGGGTTTTGTCGTGCTAGGTTATCTGGGCAGTTGACGGTTGTCGTGAAGTTGAGTCTGACACTCCTCTGCAACCTCGCCTGTGAGCATAGTTCTCTGCCATGCGAGAGGGAAAAAACCCGCAAACCTTAGCCTCGACCCTGAAGACCCCATGAACGCTCACGCCCTCCCGAAGGATGCTGAGCCGCCGAGACATCCAACTCCCCTAAGGATTACCGAAGCCTGTAAGCCCTATGCGAACCCCTCCTAAAAGCAAGGTCATAAGTTGAAGAAACAGCAAAGCCTGCAAACATCACAAGTCACAAAAGATCTGTCTACAAAAACGAGCCTTCAACTTACAAGCCCTAGTAAGCCCCTCAGCCCTAAACTTTACTAAACCCTGAAACCAACCCCATACACCCTAAACCCTAAA